GGAAAAAGATGAGTATATTTTCATCCACAGTGGAATTTCGACAGAATTTGGCGAAGTGCCGTGTTTTGACAAAATTGTATCAAAAATGTCGATGTAGTACCAATGTACTTTTGAGATTAAAAATGTACCAAAAAAGTACAATTGTACCATCAATTTCATCACTGGTATGCACTTATGCAAAGCTAGAATTCGCATGAATTTTCGTTGATTAGCTGGCGCCGCTACTTCTACTGAGCGATGCGCGCACTTCCATTTGAAAAATTTTAGCATCGCATTTGTTCTACTTCAATTTGCTTCTGCTTTAGTTTGGTTCTACTTCAGCTTTGTTCTGTTGTTCTTTTTCCTATCGTGCGGCATTCGTTCGTATGACAAAACCTTTCGTGAGTGAAGCAGTTGCTTTGTTATGGGAGTGAAGGAGAGGTACAGTGCTTAAAATGGGAGCTGATGGCTTGCAAGCGATTTATGTAGTGCTTGTGCAGCTGTTTAGTAAATACATACATATGTATATAACCTATGTACATAAGCATAAATTGTATTTTGTTTAGTGTAAATGCATCTATATCTACACATACATACATAAATACATACCATGTATGTACATAACCATTTATGTAAGCATGTACATATAAACAATTGTTTATATGCATCCCGTAGAGTAGGACGCTGTCGGCAGTAATTGAACGGTATCAATTCATCAGTATTCTGCACTCAAAATCGCTTTGTCGTCCGCCAACGCGATCATTTCAATCTCATTACAGCTGCCCTCAGCAATAAGTGCCACGGAAATCGCTTCCAACGCGCATACGTCGGCAAATTGTCTGCAGTTTCAAATAAATAAATAAAAAAAAACAATTCTTTAGTGACTTAGTACAAACATCCGTGTCAAATAAAATAGCTGATGAGTGTTCATTCGCTGGTCGCAATAATGAAAAACTTTTCAGCAATAGGTTTCACGGACCAGAATTTGCTGGTTGAACTGTGACAAGGAGGTCATACAGCAGCATCATACAACAACAATAGGGATCTAAGATTTACCGTCTCTACTTCGACTACAGAGGCTACTAGAGGCTAACAATAAATAGTGATACTATAGAAAAATCCATGTTATGCATAGTTCTAAAGTCAGTGTCTAAGTTCGCGTTGAACCATTTTTTTATTGGATTTATGGTTAAAGCGTTAATTGTGTAAACCGCGGCATAACATGGAAGGTGAGTAGTAAGTACTACAATTGAATGATCAGTTATCGCTGATAATGGCCTGGTATCAGCTGAGCTTTGCACTAGGTGTCTGAAAAGTTCATTATAAATAGATGTACGTACATCAGCATATTTGTATGTATGGATTTATAAATATGTACATATGTATGTATTTAATATAAAGATAGTGTGCCGATGCTTCCTTATTTATTTCTTTTTTAAAACGCCCATGAAGGAAAACCCTCGATAGTTCGGCTTAAATGAGTGTGCTTTGGCCTTGCCGGGACCAACAGAACAGATAGAACGGAGGATTAAGTTCAGAGTAGAAGTTAAAAAACCCATCAAGGATAACTTTGGCCACAAACCAAATTCATTTTTCGCACATTTTTAAGTTTAAAAACACCTCCGGTTCTTGTATCTATCGCCATCAAAACCACGACTGAAATAGTATATGTGGGTTACTCAGTTCGGAATACTGGGAAATCAGGCAGGTTTTGAAATTCACTTTTTTTCATTTCAATGCCTAGTGAAAATTCGGCATTAAATTCACAACTTCAAATCGATATAAAAGTAAAACACGGATCCAACTTCTACAAATACTTTGGTACTTATTCATATGTTGACCTCTTTTAATGAATGCAGACCAATTGCCATCACTTTTTGAGTATTGCACTGTGGTATTACTCCTCCGTATATTAGGTGACTAAATCTCACATGCCATACTAGATAAGGTTTGACATACCCTGTTGCAAAAATTAAATTAAATAAACAAATTAATATTTTATGGCAGTTATTAATAAGAAATTTCTCTTAATATCTGATAATGAACGAGTTTAAGTAGAAGACGTATTTATTTATACATTTTAAGAGGCTTTTATTTGAAAAAACAAAAGTACAACTTTTTCTACAATTTATGAATTAATTTATTATTTCTTGAGTACAAAACTCAAATAGCACATACCCTAACGCACTTTACGCCCTTGTTACGCGTTTCGTGGCGAAAGCCGCACTACATTCATTATAGTTACGAACTCGCCCATTTTTATTGTTTAAGAATTATTACGATTTTTAAATCGCTGAGGTGTGGTACACCCTACCTCGTACACGGAGGGTTAACATTTATCTTTCCTGCTCTATAGCTCAAAAACTGTTAGCTGTACACAAATTTTTAATACCGAAAAATCGAATTGAATGTGAAACAAGTAATTTTTACGCAAAAAACAAAACCGACTTCAATTCTCATATAAAAATTTAAGATTATCGTTAATTTCTTCACGATTCAATTCTCGTATCTAAACAAAATTAGTATGGGACCACCTTTGAGGTACTCGATGAGTCATCGAAATCGGTTAACGTGATCCAAAGTTATGCGGTAACAAAGATGAAAAAAAAAATATTCCGACGAACTGATAACCTCCTCATTTTTTTGAAGTCGGTTAAAAACAGGCACATGACATTTTGAACAGATTTGAGACAATTTTTCATTTGTTTGTCTAATGTTTATTATTATTTTTTATTAAAATCTAGTTATTTATATAATACATGTATATTCACATTCCAAACATTGTAGAAAAATTCAAAAAATTTCCACAACAACAACGAACTTTTTATTCATTATTTTTAGAAAAATTCTAAGTACTCAGTTTTGTAGCTCACTAAATTCTAACACTTTATAAGTGTGAGTTTCAAGAGGCTAAGCATCGGTTTTAAAATCATTAGAATCCAAATCAAAGACATTTCGAAACTTGGAATTTCAGCCACTCTCAGACTACTGTGCCATCACAGGGCCACCTCATCGTCACTCTTTGCTGGGTTGCCAGGAAACGAGTCTGCAAACGAGATGACCTGGTATGGCTCTGAGGTGCCAATAAACGTTGCAGACAGCTTTATACAGCCATAGTTTAGTTTAGTAATCATATCAGAAAAATGTATCAATAAACTCCACCCCTTATAAATGAATTATGTATTCTCTGGGTCATTACCGTCGCGGTTAAATGAAACTCAACAGATTTGCAGTTAAGGCTCTTACTAACGTCATCAAATTGTACCGATGCCCCTCCGATGGCGAATATCAGAGTTCTCCCTGCTTATATTGCGGATATGAAAATTAGGAAAATTAATTGACCCAACTACCATTGTAGACCTGCAACCTAGGCGCTTAAAGCCCTTCTGTAACGCTAACGCTTCTTAAGCAGGCACAGATAGTAAATATGGAGCTCTCGAACCAACTAAATTTAAAATCGTTAAAAAATGGTTATGCGGTAACGCTTTGATAACCCAGCAAGTCTGTTTCTTGGACTTCTTTGTATGGAATTGAAGTTGTGCTCGACCAAAGCCAAAACTCAAATATGTAATTTACAATTTCTAGTTTAGTACATCCAATGCTCTAAATACAACAAAACACTTGGCTACCATTCTCTACAGGGCTTCAATGCCTTCATAAATAATACAAGCGTAGTAAATTGCGAATAAAATCCACAATGCAAAGATATCTCGCTATCATTTGTCTCGAAAGCTTTCATCAAATATTTGCAAATCAACGAACTCAACGCAGTCACTTCGTTCGGTCCACTTTACATGCTGGCCGGGTAATGATGTGATTGCGTATACCAAAAGGCACGCTCACACCACAACGGCCAGTGCTACTTTCGATCTCATGCCCAGTATGCCACTGCTGCTGAGCAATCGCAGTGTTGACAACTTCATTGTCTATTATGAACATGAGCAGAAATATGAGAAGCTTTTCATGCAGCTGGAAGCGCTACCACGCCTCTGTTGGCGTCTAATCAAATTTATTTTTGGTCTGGATTTACTACGCGTTTTGATAACTAAATTTTTTCATTCCTACAAAGGTATTTATGACAGCGATCGATTGTTGATGTCCTGCGGTTCACTGTACACGGCGCTTTCGCGCACCTATCCAGAGGCACAGGCACCAGCCAAATCGACGGTAATCCCTGTAGAAGCGAGCGAACAGACGCCATTGTTTAAGGGTAGCAAAAGTTATGGTGGCACTGCAACGGCGGCAATCGGTGATGGTTATGCCAGCAAGAGTGGGGCTGATAGCAGCTATGGCAGTGAGAATGATAACTCTAGTATCAAAGGCGGCAAGGGCATCGTTAATGTGGCGATGCGAAAACATGGAAAGGAATGCTGCGCTTACGCACAAATGATGACATTTGTTTTGATACTAGCTGGTGGTTGTGTTATCGCCACTTATCTCTTAATTGCTGAATGTAAGTTTTGAGATCAAACAAAATTAATAACAAACATACTTAAATATTTAACATTTGTATACAATTAACCTATCTGTTGATGTACTACCTAGACTTGATAATAAAAAAATAGCATCGCTTTGTTGAGCGTTGGTTAAGGTATATATGCATTTACTATGTATGCGCTTAAACAATGACTCATCCCGCTATGGGGAGTGGGTCAATTGTGTCTAAGATAACTTGGCCCATAGTGAAAGTAAGATGAGAAACCCAAATTAGATATACTAAAGGGATGACTACTGCTTCTCCAATTATTCTGGTATCAGCACGGCTTGGCATTAAGAAAATAAGGGCTTATGGTTCACCACGCTACCTCCAATATGAATTTATTAGAAAAAGCAGGAAATCAAAAGGATTCTTATTTTATTTAGAGTAGGAAATATCCAAAGGCAGCGAGAGGGTAGGGAGAAGTTGAGCAGCCTACAAAATGTTATATCTATTTTGTGGGAAAGTTACAATGTCGTGGTAAAGAAAGACTCGTTTCTCCGAATTTCCAAAAAATATTCTGCCAGACGAATGGGTGTGTATTAATGAGAATTAATTGTGGGAAGTTTCTTTAGCGGTACAGTTGTCACATGACCAGTCAACGAAAATTGAACTAAAGTTAACTGATCGAAGTAGATAACTTACTGGAAATATTTAAAATATTTAAGGTTACTTTTCCAGGTTTTTAAAAGTGAAAATATTTATTGATTTTTTTTTATCAGCCGAACTATCTAAAATTTCCATTGAAAATTTGTTGCTAATATTGTTTTAAACGAATTTTTAACGAAAATAAAACATGAATTTTATGTCGAATACAATTCTTATTTTGACTTCAGCGCCACTTAGCGGTTTCGTTTCTTGCAAATCAATGTATTACTATGTTTCAACTAAATATGCCAAATATTAAACAAATCGGAGTATAAATAAATAAAGCTTTTAAAAATATCTTAACGCTGGTGCCACCTAGCGGGGCCATTATTCGCCAAAAAATTGAATGCTGGCTTAAGCAGTAACACTTAGGTCTCTTTTTAGGCGGTTCTTTTTCATGCGGATTTTAATGTATGCGGTTTTTCAAACCATTTTTTCGCTGTAGCGATTTTGCGTGTTTGAGAGTTTTTATAACTTTTTTTCAATATTTAAGAGGCAATGCTTCTGAGAAACAGTTTGTCTTACATAATTCATGTCTTTTTTATGGTATTTTTTTTGTTTTTGATTAAAATACCGATACAATTTTATTTATTTCATTAATGTTCAGTTTTACATGGAAAAATAAGTGTTGTAGTGAAGTAATAATTTAATTTTTTTTTTTTTTGCTTAATATTGCCACTCTGGATTTTTTTATGCGTTTTTTTTAGAACTTTTTACATGGAGTATCTGAATTTATGCGATTTTTGAAAATGCTGGAACGCATCCCCTGTTTTTGTATGAAATTAAAGAACTTTTTTGTGCGGATTTTTTTTATACGGCTTTCTGAGGAACGCATGTACCGCATAAAAAACGACCTAAGTGTATATTATAACAAGTAATTTTTAAACAAAAAATACAACCGATTCAATTCTCACTTAAAAAAAAATTAGGAGCATTGTTAATTTATTCTCGGATCTAAACCAAATTAGTATGGGACCACCTCTGAAATTGATTAACATGGTCCAAAGTTATGCGGTAATATACATAAAAACAATATTCCGATGAATTGATAACCTCCTCCATTTTTTGAAGTTTGTTAAAAAGCATCCGAATTGGTTTATAAATAAGTTTAATATATGACTTCTATATATTTGTTCTCGCTAGACCTTCCGCTGTAAACGCCCACATCACACTTACTTTGAAATCGGAGAAAATCGCGACTTGGCCTTTTTGTTAGCGGATAGCTAGGGCAAAAATTAGTAATTACAAACTTTTATTCGTGTCCCAGTCTAATGTATTAGTATATGTAGTACAATCCTTTTTTTAGCCAATTTAAGCTGTTATTCATTTACAACAAAGAAATAAATATCCTCCAAAGTTTTGCATTACCACCAACCAACCTCCCATTCCGCAAACAATTTTCAAGTTTCTTTCTCTTACAGCACGCCTGCCGACTTTGCGATTCTCGTTGGATCTGGTACATCGTCACATGTGGAGCAATGTTTCCGCACCACTCGCCGCCATCTTGAACCACTCCAACGTACTAAATATTGTGATAATGCAGACTGGTGGAACTGATTGTGATAAATATGAGAAATGCCTACAAATTCTACGCGAACTTCAAAAGCAGGTTTCTAAACTACAAACCAATGGGGGTGTGTTCGAGCTACGTAATAATAGCCGCAATATTGCAACACTGTTGCTTTCTTGTTGCTCTGTTGCTGATGCTCAACTAGAGATCTGCTGAAATGCTGCAGAAATTGCGTAGTGAAAAATTTTATATTGCATCAGGGTTGCCAGTGATGAGCAACGGTTTGTCAATATTTTGTTCCGAATTTTCGGGTAGAGCGTAAGGTACTTTCATAAAATAATAACACTGCCGCATTTATTGCAGCTCGAATACACCCAATTATTCCTCTAGCAACAACATGTAAATATATCGATATATATATGTATGTATGTATTTATATGTAGTATCAAGAAAAGCATGGCACCGCTCAGGAGATTCCGTTTAACTTTCTGATTGGCGGCGATCGACAGACCTATGAGGCACGCGGTTGGAACTATGAAAGTGGGCTGCCATTGGCGGTGGTGCCACAGAATGCCTCGCTGGTGATTGCATTCATAGGTATGTCTTGTGGCGCATCATCTTGGTGAGCACACTAAAAAAAAAACTACCGTTTTTATATGCCATTCATTCAGGCAACTACACGATATCGGCGCCCAATACGATGCAGCTGCGCTCGGCTCTTTCGCTCATTGCTGAGTCGGTGCGACAAAAGAAGCTCCAGCGCAAATATAAAATATTTGGCCTGCGGAATTCAAGCGACGCTTATAATGATGGAAAGGCGCTTTTTGGCGCCATTGGCGAGTGGAAACAGTTCGATGGTCTGTTAGCAGTGATTTGACTAGGGTCTCGATTTTTTTTTTCACTACCTGCTGAATGTCCATATGTATTTTTACGTAAATGTATGTATGTGCATATGTGTATTTGTTTGATATGTTTCTCAGTTAAATTTTTTGCTTCATGGCAAGCCAAAAAATTTATTCAAAATTAGAAGGTATTAGTTATTTTTTTTAAATAAGCAAATTATTTATTTATTCAAATATTGCGCAGTTGCAACGATAAAGCATTTATTTGTATAGTTACATATATGTATGTATAAGTGCATATTCGTATGCATGTTAAGCTAGTATAATTGTATAAATATGTATGTATGTGTACATAGAGACAAATAACTTTTTGTTGCATATGTTAACTTGCTATACGTAATACTAAACAAAGCCCTCAACTCATATGCTAAATGACGCAATGCAAACCATAATGCAACTTACTGCTTACTGCAAGCTAAACAATTGTAATTGTAATTATTTCCTTTACGAAATATTAAACTAACTTTAAGTAATGTAAATTAACACAACACGCACATCAACACAGCACCGGCGAGCTTGGCTCGTTTTTTTTTTTTTTTTATTTTATTTTTTTCTCTTCTCCAGTAAAACTTCGCTGCTTTTAGTCTAATCGAATTCCAGTTTGCGAAAACTCCCCTCAATCGACTCGATCTGTGAGGCGAAATTCAATCCATTAGTACCTTTCTCCGCGTTGAAGCTACTTTTCCGCAAAATTCCACGATCGCTGAGCAGCGCGCTCTTGTCCAGGCTGATTATGGCCTCACGCCTGGCCACCAGCTCCTCTTTCCACAACTCCACCATCGCTTTCATGGGCATATGACCGCCCAGTTCTTGTGGCAGGCAAGTCGGATCGACATGCTTCGCCAGTTCTTTGTCCTGTGTGTAGAGCACCAACCGATCGCGCATCTTCGTACTCACGCGTCCCTTCACGAAATCGATTAGCCACTTGAGCGTCGCCGGCACATTCACCAAATGTATCTCTTTGTGTCGCAGCGGTAGCGATTGTTCGCTCCAACGAAAAACTCGTGCAAATTCGGTCGGATTCCAATTGGTCACATGCGTCGTGGTGACACCGGCAAAGTCGCCCACATGTATGAGTCCACAGATTTGTGTGGCTTGATCTTCCATGAGGCACTCGTAGGTGAGGAAATGTGCACGCGCCTGATCGCTGCTGTTGTATAACTTTGGATTGAAGCCTTTGGCATTGATCACCACCACACGACGTCCGTTCTTGTCGCGCTGCGGTGAGGCGAAAATGTAGCCACTGCTGATAATGTCATTCAACTTGGGTTCCAGAAAGTCCAGCTGTGTGCTCATGTGTGGAAAAGTGCGGCGCACATTCAAGTACTTGAGTAGAGTTTGTTGCGCCATGGGCACACTGTACTTTTTGCAACGCAGAAAGCGCAAAAGGAACTGTTCGTCCAGCCGCACATCGCGCATATCCTCATGTTTCAATATCCAGTTGCGCAGTTGTTCCAGACTCTGCTCCCGCGTACACTTATCTTCGCGCAATTCGCGTTTGGCAATCTTTAGAATTTGTTCGGATAATTCTGTTTCGGCGAATTGTTCGATGGTGTGCTTCATGATGAGTGGATTGAGGTTATGTTAGCGCGTAACTGGCTGAATCGAGTGCGATAATTGATTGAGATGCGAATAGGAAGGAGCTTCTGTAAATATATAAAGAAAATAATTAATAAATAAATTTCTTAATGATGAAAACAATGTTTTTATATAATTAAGTCTATATAAAAACAGTGGAGCCTAAAAATATACACCATGAAAAAGTTACAGATGTAATGTGTAATAAGTACAGCTCGAATTCTTATGTTAAAAAATACGCCTAAAAATATGTGACATCATAACTATAAGCAAACTGTATATCAATTTATATATTTTGCTTATAGTTTTGATGACACCTATTTTAGGCTTATTTTTTATTTTTTTTGAATACAAATCCGAGCTTTAGTCATAAGCCAAATCTAGCAGTATGCGAATAAAATTATCGATAGCGATTTTTCAAAATCCCACTGCAGGTCTCAGTTTTAATCCATACTTGCAGGCAGCTATGGTTTAAGCTCCTACTGGGTGAGAAGATAATGTATTTTGGTTCGATTTTCCATTGTACCCGTTTTTTGGTTCGAAGACAAATCGGTCTCGTCTTTGTGCCATATTTTTGAAACCGAAATTCATTCCGAAATACATCACTAAGCGTTTGTCGCAATGTAAAAGCAAGCATATCCTAAACCTAAAGCGAGATCTTTCTATTTATTACACAGAGAAAGATATTTTGAAGGTAGTCTCCGGGCACATAGAGATTTCCATAGACATTTTTTTATTATTTTTGTGTAAAAATTACACCACCCAGCAGTGTTTTTGCAAAAGAACAAGTCCGTTGAAGTTAAGGCATACGCGGCAGTGGGTTAATATCCTTTATGTTTGTTAGACCTCGGAAGAAAGGCTTGCCTGGAAACTTTATTCAAGCCCTCTCCAGTTCTGCGCATATACGTGCCTTCAGAATCTAGTAAATTACAGATTGACAAAATGTAATGTATTCCAGCCGAGCAAATGGCAGTTATTCGAAACAAATCCTTCCAGGTCAGTTTGATGAGAAATTCAGTCCGGTAGTTGGGCCACAGGATCCTTCCTAACTACATATCCTGTAGTATTGTGGTTCTTTCCATCTACGGTCACCCACTTTTTACCAGTGTTTAGAAATGCGGTCCTTGATACAGCGCAGAGGCACAAAAACCTGATTTAGTTTGGAAGGAATTTCCGTCCTTCCTTGTCAAGCTTTGTTTCCAGACAAACCGGTTGCGGCGTTGTGCAATTTTCAGTGTAATTTTTCGTTCTTCTGCCACTGTGCGTGTCGTACGGGGGCCAAAGGTCAGATGCCTCTATGAAGACTCAAAAAATCAACAAAAAAAAAAGTTTTCCCGATTGGAGTCGGTTAAGACGTCTTCATAGGATAACCTGATCTTTGACCTCTGTTCTACCCCCTTTACTGACACCCCTGTACAACACCCCTTAACCGACTCCAATCGGGACCAAAATTTCTGTGTGATATCTTCGACTATAGAAGTATCGATTTTTTTAGTCTCCATAGAGGATTCCAAACTTTGCCCCCTGTGCGACAGGCCTCCATTCGGTACCTCAATTTATATGTAATAACTTCGGCTACAGTGGCATCGACGTAAGGACCACCCTACTGTACGTACATATCGTAGGCTTATATTCAATACCCTCTATTCGCAAATTTCATAAAAATGAGCTATAGACATAAGAATCCACTTAAGAGTTACCTGTTATCGATGATGTCAACGTTAACCTTATATATAAATACATACATAATAGAATTAACCGTTGGTTGGCAAAATTAGAGTGCAAGATGGGTTCTTTAATCAGAAATTAGTTTTTGTGAAAGTTTCTCTTTCATGTCTTCAAAGACAAATGTCTAACAAAAGTATTGCCAAATTTACTTACTTAAGCGAATGCGATTTTTTTTTTTTACATAAAATGCAATGCTATACATACATATGTATGTATATATGCGCTAACAAACAAATGCGCGACAATTAAAAGTTCATTTGAGTTGAATGCTGCAGTTTTTGCGATTTATTTTGAACAAAAGCCACTTCAAGGTGCCACAAAGAGGAAGCAACGAAATCAGACATTTTGTTAAGCTCCCGTAAAGCACATTATTAGTATTATTTTTTTTTTTGCATACAAGAATAGTATTCATACTCATAATTGTAACATATATACATATGTGCGTACGTAGTTAAGTGCAAATGAGTTATTTTTATATGCCAACTTGTCAACTTGTACTACCTCAGGGGCATTCATTGTGTTCCAACGGCAAGGGCATACATATTTTGCTAAAATTTATTGCCTGAGCTGTACGCATACATATGTACCTACATACTTGTAAACAGACATACATATGTACAAACATACACAGTTACTTTGGCGAAGAGTAAGATCATTCATTGCCCATTTGCTGATCAAAACTTAAATAGCAAACCATTTGAGCGCAAATAGAAAACACAAACACTTACAAATTTACACACAACTCATATCAAAAAAATGTGTGCGCAAGCAAATACATAATTGCGAGTTATTTGTTGAAGAAGTTTGTTTTGTGCGCGTAATTTGATTTGACGGTTCGGTTCTTAAGTCTTTCGTTTTTTGAATGCGCTACTGTACGCAATTTCAAGTATTTTAAGTATTTCTAAGGTGAAACTGAACAACGTCCCTTTATTAAACATACATATGTATTTATATGTTATTTACTGCTTTATTCGCATTCGCATTCGCATTCGCATGTGCATTGAGCCAGCAATTAAAAAATGACCTAGTTTGGCGGAATTAATGTAATTGTGTTCGCAAAAAAAAAAAATTTGATTTGTCGTTCGGCGAGCATTGAAAACTGAATTCTTGTCGGTTATTAACACAAATTGAACAAATATTTTTATCAAAGCTTGCTTCAATGGCATAATTATTATTGAAAATTGCTTAAGCCATGCTTTAAAGTTCAAAAAGTGCTATATATTTAGTTATTTTAAGGCAAAAGCTTGATTGACAAAAATGTTAAACTTAGTTTTTTTATATTTTGTTTAAAAATTTAAAATGTATTTAATAAAATGCAGCGTATTCGTCAGATGCATTGGGTACACATTATGAAACGTAGCCCGCGAGTCCGGTGCACAATGGTCTGAATCGCCTTTTTTTTTGCATTAACTCGAAAAATGAAGGTAAAAGTTTGAAACTTGGTACATTTTCTTATCATATCATCGATAAGCTGTGGAATTTTTTTGGGAAAATTGGACCACGTCTTAACTCGAAATCAATCTTTTTTTCGAGTCTCACCTTCGATAACGAATATGAAAGAGGTTAGTATTCGATTCGAAAACTAGGCCATTCTCCAGCGAAACGGAACCTGCGTTATCCAATGTATTTTTCTGTCGTTATGACTTCGAAATCCAGCCGATTATCGAATTGGAATTTTAATGAGAGAGAGTGGTTTTCTTATATTTCCCTTCAAGAATGAGCTGGATTTCACTTTCTCTCTTGTTACTATGGTTTCCATTTTTTTCGAACCCATCTCGAGTGTATTTCCAATATACTATGAACGTTGGACAACTAAGGTTGGTTATGAGTTGGTTCTCTGTTCGATATTCATATCGAATGGTCATTTTCGAACGTTCGCCAAAATGTTTATTGGGTATATGTATTTACATATATACATATACATATGTGTAAAGGAATGACGTACCTCTACCAATTTACTAATTAAAGCTATTGCAAGACGCTCTTTCATTTTATATTTTATGAAGCAAAACAATTTACGTAAGGTGTTATTGTCATATTTTAAATTAAAATTTCATGGTCAAAGGGCGTTGCAAAATACACACAGGAATTTAATTTTTTTTCCTCACACACCTTTATTTACAACACAAAAAAAAAGATAAATTTATTTTTTATTAAATCTGATAAGTAAATTTTTAGACGTTAATACCGTTCAAGTCAAAAACTATACTTTATTTACTTTGCTATACCTTTTCGCAGCTGATAAAAATGTTTACAATATTTACCGATTTTATTGATATTAATAATAAAATATTTTAAAATACTATGCAATCAAATCTTCAAGTTAATAAAGAAATATTCCAGTTCTGTCGGAATGAAGGGTATACAAAAATTAATGAACTTTTCAAAACAAAATATTTGCCTAGTCAGCCACATTAGCATTTTTGCATAGCTATGGCAATAGGCTATAGGTAACAAATATAAAATACATATATGTATGTATGTATATATAAATGTATTTGTGTATGAAGATATCCATACAAATGCGGTATGAATGTTTTTTGTTTTTTTTTTTGATTTTTGTGCAGTCCATTAATTAAGGTTGGCTACTTTCGCAGCCAGTATTCACACTTTTTTCAATAAACCAGCGGCGATTTAGCGCAGAAGCAGGCCTCCCGGCAACCGCTGAATGGCTTAAGGTATATTATTAGCAATGCGATGCGAATTGATCCATAATATTTCTCAAAGTTAGGCGCTTATAATTAGTTCAGTGAGCTTGAGTAGAAATATATTTGCTTTAGTAAGCTCAACGAATTATCACAAATGGCGGTATGCATTTATCTTAACATATTCATAAATATATATGTATATATATAACTCAAATACCTAAGGCTTATTCTTCAAAAATTGAAATTAATTTTATTGCGATTCTTTCTTTGGTTTTGGATTTTATCAACCAATTGTTTTTAGTTTCTTTCATTTCGGTCATCCCATCGTTCGCATGTGACCACTTTGATATTTTTATGATTTTTTCTCTTTTGTATAAATTTACATTGATTGTGCGTCATTGCACTCAACCGGACAAGAGACAGATTGTGGTGAGAGCAACAAATAAATTTTTTCTTGCATACAATGTGTGGTTGACCTGTTTTCTGTAAATAAATTTGAACTTGAGCCGAATTTACACTTACAAAAGTCACCGTTGAAAAATCGGCATAATGGCTGATTTTTAAAATTGTTTGTATATGCCAGTGTACATTAGGGTGGTCCAAAAATACATGCGGATTTGGGGAGTTTAAAATGTTAAGCTCTTTTTTGTTAGAAAAAAATTATATTTCGAACTGTCTCAACGCCCATGAAG